CACGCTTTTTTCTTAAGGCCGAAATCGAATTTAGAGAAATGTCGGTAATTGAACGAGAATGTACATGGCGGTTTTGATTGATATAGGTTGGGAAAAGGCGGAGAATGAAGCTGCGGTTTTGAAGCAACAGCTTGATGCTTCTACTAGCAAGGTTTCAGCTCTTGAGGATCGAAATAGTCATCTTGATAGTGCGCTAAAGGAATGTGTGAGACAACTATGGCAAGGAAGAGAAGAGCAGAATCACAAGATCGAAGAAGCTATAAACAAGAAATGCGCAGAGTGGGAAACTAAAAAATGTGAACTTGAATCCCAAATTGAGGAACTCCAAGCTAGACTTCGAACGGGAAAAGAAGAGGTTACTACAGGTTCGGTCCACGAAGAGCTTTACCCGAAACTTGAGGCTTTAGAGAAAGAGAACTCAGCTTTGAAGCTTCAACTACTCTCGAAAACTGAGGAGGCTGAGATTAGGACTATAGAGAGGGACTTAAGCACTCAAGCTGCTGAATCTGCAAGTAAACAACAATTGGAAGGGATTAAAAAGTTGACTAAACTTGAAGCGGAATGCAGGAAACTAAGAGTCATGGTTAAAAGATCCAATGAGCTTAAATCTTCTATGGATAACCAATCAGACTACTCTGGGAGAGTTTCTTTTAGTGACAATGAAATGCAGAGTCCCTCTGCAAGGATCACTGGGAAAACTTCGATGGCTCCTTCAGTAGAAATCGGTATAATGGATGATTTTCTCGAGATGGAAAGGCTCGCTGCTCAGCCGCATTCTGAACCAGGAAGAAAACATTCAGAGAGTAACAAGGGATTAGAGAAACCTGATGCTGAATCAAGCCAATTAAAACATGAACTCGAAACCTCGCTTCGTAGAATTTCTGAACTGGAGGAAAAAGTAGAGATGGTAGAGGTAGAGAAACTGCAGTTGGAGATGGCTTTGAATGGATCCAAAGAGCAAATAGAGGCATTGAAGAGACGGCTAATGGAGACTGAGGAGAAGCTATCCGAGTTGAAGAAACTAGAAGGAGAAAATCAAGATCTAGACTTGTCGTTGGGGGAATCGGGTAAGCAAATTCAGGATCTTCGAAGACAGCTAAAGAAAGCACAAGTGAATCTATCAGAACTAGAGACTACAAGAGCAGAAAACAAGGATCTAGAGTTGTTGTTGGGTGAATCTGGAAAGCAAATTCAGGATCTTCAAAGACAACTAAACAAAGCACAAGTGAATCTGTCAGAACTAGAGACTACAAGAGCAGAGAAGCTGGAACTAACCATATGTTTAAATGGGACAAAGAAGCAGCTCGAGACATCGCAAAACCGGCTAAAGGAAACAGAGAGAAAGTTGACGGAGCTTCAAACTCTGCTGCGTCTAACAAAGGACGCAAAAGAAGCGGCTGAGGATGGTGAAAAAGCTGCAAACGCGAAAACAGAAGCGGTTGAATCAAGACTCAGAGATGTGGAAGCAGAAGCGGAATCTTTGATCTTGAAAATCGGATCTTTAGAAGAAAGTACAAGAAAGGAACGTGCTTTATCGGCAAAACACATTTCAAAGTGCCAAGAACTACAAGAGGAGATCTCAAAACTAAAACACGAACTTGAGGATCATCACGAAACAGAGCCTGAGCTTAACCATATGAAAGGTTTTGATGAAGATTATAAGCTGAAGCAGGTCAGATTCTCTTCTTATCTGACTGCAATATTACAATGATACTTATCCATGGACATACATATACTGAAACAGTTTTTACAACCCTGAACTAAGAAATTACCGTAGAAGCATAATCAAACACATTGCAGAAGACAAATACACCTCATGGGACTTGAAAGTTCATTTTTGTTTTTGTTTTTTTTTAATACTTGTTAATGACAATGTGGCAATGGCAGGAGAAGGAATTAGAAGTGGCTGCCTCAAAATTTGCAGAGTGCCAAAGAACTATCGCTTCGTTGGGACAGCGATTACAGTCACTCGCTACATTTGAAGATTTCTTGATTGAATCTTGAGGAACAACTCTCTGATCAGCATCTTGATCTTTCTAATGGATGGTGAGAAGAATCAATAGAGTCTGAAATGTGAATGATGAGCAAGTGAATCTCTGCGGTAGAGACTTGGAATCGCATCCATGAACACAAGTGTGTAGAGTACAAGACATGAAAAGAGAGGAGAGTCTCTGTATACATCAGAAAGTAAGGCTAAGCCAAAAACAGAATTGAGATATTTGTCAATAGAAACAAAGGAAAGAAAAAGGATATAGTTTTTTCTTTCAGTTTAATAAAAATTACCCATTCAATTTCCATTAGTAAATTATCCATTCAATTTCCATTGTTTGTTAGTAAAGTTTGTAACGGTTATGGACATATTTGAAAGTTTGAGAGTAAACAAAATATAAACGTAGCAATAAAGATGACGTTTTTTAATTAAAAAAAAAAACTTATTAATTTGATTTTGTATTAGATTTTACATTTCTTTTACTACATGCTGTTTTCGTCGCCTATAGTCAGCGACGATGTGTAGATACGGTAATTAAAAAAAATTACTAGTCAAATTTGATAATTTCTTGGTTGCAGTAAA